ATTATTTTGTAATTGAGTAATTCAATCGGTTTAAAAATAAAATCACAAATTTAACTATTTATATCAATTTTAAAATTTTATAATCCAAATCACCCCATATTGATGTCTATTTGGATCAATTTTGTTAGATTAATCAATTTGAATTAGACATGAATAATCCTAATTATAGGGTTTATTGAAATGAAAGGTATGCTAATAATTTTTCTTCAGGAAAATCTCTTCTTTTATTTATTTATTTTTACCTTGATTAAAGATGAAGCCCAACTAACCAAAAGGCTAGTGTATGAATTAATATCATACTCCCGTCTCAAACGAAGACTGAAATAGTTAATAGCCAAGTCATTGTTGCCTGCAGAGAAGAGAAATAAGGCGTTGGAAATGATGTCCTTAGCCTTCTCATATCCAACAACTCCTTCTAACTTGCCAACATATTCTTGAAACTTCTTGAACTGATCTGTTCTGGATAAAATATTCTGATACACAGGGTAATTAATAAAAGAAATATAGAAACTAAAAGAAATTAAATACTAAAATATATGTCAATGATTTAAGCAGTTTAATGGTTATTTTTTTCACTAGAAATAAAAAATTTTGAATTCGAGTCGCATGTCTTGGGGTAAGATAAGAGATACGAGATACGAGATGATTGTTTCTCATTGTATAATTAAGATAAAAAAAATACTAATATATATATATATATATTGGAAATTATGTACCTGCACGCGGGCTGTCAACTCATCCAAACCCGAACCACCAGAAGCAAAACAAACTCCTGTAGGGAGGTCAGTACTCTGCAGAGTTGGGTCCAGATATGCGGGCAATAAATCTTTGATTCCCAAGCCTTCAGCTAACAGAAACAAGAAATCAAGAAATGAATTGTCACTTCTTAGCGTCTTTATGTTTCTTTGATTATTTTTACAAAATAGAGGATGAGGACTTACAGATTATGTCTGAGAAAACCTTTCCATTTCCAAATCTTCCGGTGGCTATATGTCCCGGAAAATCTCTTCCATACGGAGGGAAATTGCACTTTGAGAATGTATTGAGATTGTTGTTGTTACCGGTATCTAATATTGAATCTCCAAAAGCGAAAAGGGCCGGAATTGTTCCATTGCTGGCAGTAACTTCTATGGTGTGCAAGACAAGAAAAACATTGAGTGCAAAAATGACTTTTGAAGATGCAGAAAGCATTGCCTTGGAAAGGAACTTCATGTTTCAAAGTCAACAAAGAAAATTTTTGAAATCTTGGTTCTTGGTTCTTGATTCTCTTTTATATAAGAAGATTGCCATTAGTATACTATGTAACTGTTATTTTGTTGGTCAACTTTAGAGTTTTAATCTTGCAGTTAATATTCCCAAAGATTAATTTTTTTTAAATGCACTATGTAATGTAGAGCTGTTTCTTTAAAATGGTTTGGGAGGGATTAATCTTGAGATAATTTCCTTAAATGAATTCAGCAATTAATGTAAGGGTGTATTTTTAAAATTGTTTGAGAAAAATTAATTTTAAAATAAGAGGAAATGCCTGAGAGACTAACAATAAATACAATAGAAGTAGAAAAGAAAGAAAAAGAAAAGGAAGTTTAATGAAAGTTTATGGGATCATTTCGATTCAAAGTTGCCAACATATTCATTTTTGGCCTATACTAAAGCTCCTTGCATAAAGTTTAGGTTAAATGTCAATTTTAATACTCCCATTTAAGAGTTTTGCATAATTTTTGTCTTTAACTTTTTATATATTTTTTTATTTATCAATTAAGGAAAATACACTTTTTAGTTTTTTTATTAAATAGTCTGTTAAATTTGTTTATATATGTATATTTTTAATCTTTCAACTTATATTATATACACATTTTTTTATTTCTCAACTTAAATGCATAGAGATTAAAAATGTATATATATATATATATTTAGATTTAATGAATTAACTAACAAAAAAATAAAAAAAAATATTTCTCATAATGGAAGAATAAAAAAAGTGCATAAAAAAGTTCAAGATGAAAATTGTGCAAAATATCAAGGCTAAGGGATTCAAATTAACATTTAACCAAGATTTATGATCATTCCTGTAACGTAATAAAATTAATGACCTTTTAGACTGGCTGTTGAATATTTACTTTAATTACATACCGACCTTCGGTTACTGAAGGCCGAAAAAAAAATCAGTTATTAGTGTTGCAAGAGAAGAAGTTCTACTAAAAGGATTAATATTGTAGTGTAGGTTGTGTTATATGAATTATATTATTTTTAAAAGTAATGATTAGTATATCTTTTAATTTAATAGATATATTAATACTTATTGATTAAGTTATTAAATTTTATAAATAAAACTTTTTTTAGCTTGAATTTAAATTTAAAAATAATAATTTTTAATAAATATATTATAAAATATATTAAATTAAAGAATATATCAATTATTATCTTATTTTTAATTATTAATAAAGAGATAAATCTTTAATTTCACGAGATTTATCCCTTTCATCAATCATGAAGGAAAATATAGTTGTGGATGGAAAATGGTGTGCCACCCTGCACTTTTCGGTATATTAAATATTGAATATATTTATTCTGATCAAATTGAAGATGAGTACTTATGGGGTTTGACGGACCTAATTCTTCGGGTCAAATAACGTCTGATCACTTAGAGGTACATACCTCCCTTTCCATTATAATATTGTTCAAAAAAAGAAAAAAAATACATATGGGGTTTGACAATAAGGGACTGTAGGGGTGTTTGGTCGGAGAAAATTTTTAAAAAAATTTTTTCGTCTGTAAAATTATTTATATATTTTAATATATTAATATTATAAAAAAAAAGCTAAAAATAGTATTTGGAACATTTAATTTTTTTTATATAAAATGATTTAGTGATAATTTTTTATATTATTTTTTTACAACTCTATAAATCATTTAAATGATTAATTTTTTTATTTATTTAAAACTTGTGATATTAAATACATTCATTTATTTAATAACATGTAAAAATTATATAAAAATATTGTATAAAAAAGTTACCTCTTTATTATTGCTCTAAACTTACTATATCTAAAAGTTACATTTGGATCTATATTTAGATCTTAATTAATTTGGAGTCAAACTCAAGAGTTTAGTTAAAAGAAACTTAAACTCAAAATTTTATTTAAAAAGAATCAAAATTCTTTATACTCCAACCAACATGTTGTTGGTTCTGTTTTGAAAAGAAATTTTTTTTAATAACTTACCTTGGGTTTATTTAACAAATTTTCTTATTAATTTATTATCAAACACAATAATTAAAATTAATAATTTAACAAAATTTTATTATAAAATTTAATAACATTTTATATACTATTTTTTAATTTTTCATATAGTAGTTCTTAATTTTTTTTTTTAAAAAAATTCTATAAATGTTTCTTTGTAACCAAATAGCCCTGAAAAATGTTACAACTTACAAGGCGGTCCGTTTTTTAGAGTTCCAACGCCACAGCAACCCTTATAATTCTCCTCGTCAAAACCTGCAAAAGAAGAAATGCAAACACAACAAAATCTTTAGTTGGCATTGACAAAATTAATGTCCGTATATATAGTTGCAGTTTTTTATGTTGTAGGCTTAAGGTATATATTAATAGTATAATTAATATATTTTTTATAATTGATTGAATTAATTAATTAAAATTATTTATGTATCAATAATAATAAAATAAAAATAAATTTTCATTTTTTTTATGTAAATTAATTATAAAAAAATATATTTATTGTATCTTTAAAAACACAAATTAATATTACATAAATTTATATAGTCAAATTAACATCTTTTCTGTACTTTGGATGAATAAATTACCATAGTTTAGACATCTAAAAAAGACCAATGAGAGGTTGGCATTGAACAAGCAAGGGTTCACGGCCATGCTCATAACACCGACTGATCTTAGGAACAGAATCAGAATCAATTACTGGATATGGTTTATTGTAATTTTTAATCAATAAAAACCTAAAATTAAAAATTATTGTGTATTATTTTTATTTTAATAAATAAGATTTATAATTATAAAACTTTAAAATTATAGACATTTTTAAGAAAAGGAGTGGGGTTTGTACCTAATTCTTCTTCAATTTAGGTTCACTCCTGCCAATTCAATGTAGGTTCGCCCCTGCCGATTCTCTTCTCCGTGCCCCTAATCCATGCAAATCGAATGGAAAAAATTGCAGCTTGAAAGTTCGTGTTAATTAACTTGGTATTATCAAACAAACATAGATTAATATATCTCTCTAAATATGATATTGTTAATGTTAATTCCCCTCGAGTCGTCTATGGCATATATTAATTCGACGAAAAGCACATGTCGTGCACGTTTTCGATGAAATGCCTGACCAGAACCGAAATGCGTATGTGCAGAATTATCAGTTTG